CAGCTCCACCAGTGAAGCCGGGGCGTTGACCGACCGGGCGCCTATAGGTAGAGCCTCCGTTCGCTGCTTGGTCAGACTTTGGACCAGCCGACTAAAAGAATTCCGCTCTGTACGCTGGCGAGTCAGTAGGACCGGTATTGGTGAAGTCGGAGCGGGTCCCCGCTCCCGGCCGGCTTTTTTCCGGTGGGACCGGTTTGAGGTGGTTGGGATGTGGGGGGATACCGTCCGCGACGGAGCCTGCTCGTGGATCCCAGCAGTTGACTCTGATGACGAGAGAGGGGCTGTACTCGTATCTTTACGCTTATTGGCCGTGGCCCTGTCCGCGTGCTGGGTTTCTTCGACATTGTTTTGTGCACGATTCTCCCGGTCTGTGGGGCTGGACGCAAACACACGAGAAATCAACTTTTTTGCGCGTCCCTTCTTGGATAGGCTGGTAAGCCATGGGTGTTGCTCCACCGGTTTAGGTTGTGGCTGTACATGCTCGAATTTTTTTCCTTGCTCAACGTGCGGTGCGCTGCTGACTGTGCTGGCGGCGGGAGGTGGGACTGGCACTGTCTCTGGAGACGCGCTTGCCCCCCTCGGACACGGAGGCGTGACAGCTGCTTGAGCGGCCTTTTCTGCCGCCTCCTGTAGAGTCAATCGTCGCGCCGCCATGGCACGGATTTCGTCTAGACTGGAGAACGGTTTAGCTAGGTCCTCTAGCTCCCGCACGTCCGCTTCTTTAACGACTAATCCTCCGGGACCTCGTAATAAGGCATCGGTGAAGCCACACCGGGCGATCGTATGCCCCAGATTTCCACATTGTAGACATTGCAGCCGATGCCCTACGTTTGGGTGCTTGACAATGATGGTTGTGCCAAACCATAGGAGTCGCACTATCCCATCGAGAAAAGTAGGGCAACCGGCCAGTTTAAATGTCACTCTCCAGATTGTTGACGTCCGGGAATTCGGCGTATGTGTATCCAGGTCTTCCATCTCAAACTCGGTTGGTATGTTTGCCTTAAAATATGCCGCAATCCTGCCCACGTCGCTAAAGCGGGTTAAATTATGGAGATGAACGGTGTATTCCACTCGCCTGCCTTGTTGTTTGCCATTCAACCCTTGCTGCCGTCTCCAGATCGAACCGTGGTCCGGTCGGTGGGCATTTTGAAGTCGGTAAACAGCTCCTCGGAACGGCACCCGTACATCCTTGTGGCTTTCAGCCGTCGTTCGTGTGAAAAAATAAAAGTGTATGGTCTTGGTCACGTGATCATACCCTATCGTCTTGGTCTGGCTTAGCATTAAATGAAGGTCTTGAAGATTTATCCTCGCGAGCTCCGCGCTTTCTAGAATCGCCTCCGTTAAGGCCTTCGTCGTCCGCCTACTGAGTGGGACAACGCGAGCTCGGTCCAGCTGGAAAGTCAATTCTCCCTCGACTTGTGCTTGAATAGTGCTGTATAAGCGCAGCCTTTCCTCACTCTTCAGTACTTGCTGGATAAAATCTGGCATGCGCCGGCATGCCACGGTGCCTTCGACGAGCCCCGTAATTATTGCCCATTCGTCGTCCGTTCCTGCTCTGACTTGATGCTGCCCTGCACGAGCCGCCGGTGCAGCACAAAGTGATTTAAGACGCGTAATGGTATCCCGCGAGAAAGCAGAGGGGTCAAACATGAAGTCATCGTAACGTGGAGAGAGGTTGGAGACTTGCGGATGATCGGTGCGTGGAGCAGGCGCCCCCTTACTAACCACCTGAGCCCATTGATTTAGAACCGGTGCTTGAGTCCACTTGTGTTGACTTGCGAGGCGCCTTATTATCTCTTTGAAAGCCCACTTGGTATTTAACAATTCATGCGCTATCGCAGTCGCCAGTTTCTGCCAGTCAGAAAATGTGCCTTTACTCCGGACGAAGACTTGTTCAAAAAGCCCGAGTAATGATGCAGCCTCTGCTGCGTGAATAGCCGGAAAGCGCTTCCTTGCTGCCGGCAAAGCCTCCGTTTGGACCGGCACGGTCTTATAAGCCTCGGCAAATAAGTGTCTGATTGTGGTGCGCCAAGCTTCCACTTGTCCCTCGTTTGGAGACTCGGCCATGGCCTCCACCAGGGCCGCAAACATCTCGGCCGAAGTTACAGACTTTTGGCTTGGCTGTTGCTCCAGTCTGGTCGGAAGGGAATCTGATGTCCTATGGGTCACTCCGCCGAGTGTGGCCCCTTCCGCCTCGTCTGTCCCGAATGGACCTGTCGTCGTCGCTTCGGCGCGACCCTTAGGGTCCGTGTAGTCTGCCTGAATTGGCCCTGGATGGTTAATACTCCCTGAACTCGCCGTGGAACGCCGCTGGCTTGCAGGCTGGTCCTCTTGATCCGGGACCATGCTGCCGCCATCCATCCCCGAGTCCGTCTCCGAAGATGCCGCTGCGCGAGGCGGTATCGCCTCCGTTTCCTGTCCTCCCTCGGGGGGGAGCAGGAGGGGCGGCGACATCGCGCTCTCGTCCAACCTTAAGGTCACCAAACTTGTCCTGTTTATACTCCGCCTTAACCAGGTGGTCTCTGCTCTGCAGATTGGGGAGTGGGAATGTACTACATGGAATGCGACCGTCGTTTGTCTCTCATCCCACCCTTAGGTACTGCCAAGACAATACATGCGGTGGAGATACGCCGACGACGGCGTGAATGAGGAGAATGGTGCACGTCTGTACCAATCGGGGAGAGTGGTGTGCACTTCTGTGCCAATCGGGAAGAGAGTTGCCGCAGAACACGATGGAATACATTCCCAAATTTTCACGGTTCAGCTCAAGCCAGTCTTTTTCCCTTCGGGGCAGTCACGTCGGAGGGAATCCTCCCCTTGGGGAGCCGACGTGGTCGAAGATCTGACGCGGGCACGCTGCACTCGCAGTCGCGGGTGTGGGCGTAGGAGACCGACGGGTCGCGCAAGCGGCCCTAGCAGGGGTGTTTTACGGACTGGAGGCGTACCCCGCGCCACGTGTCGCCGCTGCGGCGGCGCACACTCCACGTCAAGGGGCCGCGCAAGCGGCTGAAGGGGGCCACCATCGCAGATGGTTGAGCTCCTCGGAGAGATATACGGCGGGTTGGCGTTCTCCACGCCACGCAGTCACTTCGGTGATCGCGCTCCACGTCGGGGGCCGCGCAAGCGGCTGAAGGGGCCACCATCGCAGATGGTTGAGCTCCTCGGAGAGATATTGGCGGGTTGGCGTTCTCCACGCCACGCAGTCACTTCGGTGATCGCACTCCACGTCGGGGGCCGCGCAAGCGGTCCTAAAGGGGTTTGTTGCCTTATATGGCAGCATACCCGCGTTGTCCGTGCTGCCGCTCCGGCGGTACGCATGTCCCCAGTCTACTTGGTCGCGCCAGCGGTCATGATTGACTCGTAGTTGGCTTCGGTAGGAGGGTCTCTGACCTCGTTGCCGTCGCCCCTGGCTCTACGGAGCCCTTTAGTTGTCGACCCGATACCCGGGCCGTACTTCTTGTCACACTTATCAGTCGTTAGTTATCATAATAATTGACGTACTTGACACCACCACCGAACACGATGGAATACGATAGAAGTCTATCCGCACGTACCCAGCAGCTGGCGACTGATTGCCTAGTGGCTGACAAATCGGACATCAGGAGTCGCCAGCACGAGTTGATTGGACCTATGTATCTCACTTGAAAGCAAAACTAGTCATGACGATGACATCAAATCTGCACATAATTGAAATGCGTCATACGACCGCAATTGATGTAGGTTGAGGAGCTGCTAGTACAAAGGAGCACGAAGAGCAAGCAGACGTAGGTACACTCGAGTGCGATCACCTATCAGTCGAGCCGTTGTCAAACAACTCGTGCTCACATATTTCTCCAATTATACCTCGTCGAGCGTTGCATATACTGTACAAGCTTATAGCTGTGCGATAAAAAATGCGTTGTTCAGACGTCCTGAAACGATCCAACATGATGACGGCATTCGAATCAACCCAGGCCTATACAGCGCAGTCCTGCAAACCACCACAACAGTGTCATACTAGTGGCTCCTTTTATGTCCAATGGTGTCGCCATCGTCGATTCTGATCGCCACTAGATTCATGGAAAGTACAATTTTGCTAAAAATGATTTGCCATCGAAGAGTATGCCCAAGCGAGACCTCACGCGAGACCTCACGAGGTTCGGATGGAGCGGCATCTAGACCTGTAGTGTATCGATGACACTGCACTTTGTGGCGATAGTCTCACTCGTGCTGCTGCAGCAACCGACGACGTCATCGGCTGCAGTTGCGTGGACCAATGTCACAACAGCACTGTATCGTCCAGACGGATCGCTTGCCGCGACAGCGATCGTTCAGGAGCTGCTGCTTGTACCGCTGAAGGAGGAGCTCCTCGTTTTTTCGAGGAGCGGTGGTGCTAGTGACCATAAATCGGCTGCAAAGTGCCGCGTGTAGTGCTGTATTTCTGCTGCTCTGTTGCTGCGTGCCATCTGCAAATGCGAGACACATTGGAGCACAAAACTCGGCATCGTATGTGACGTACCCCGACTGCTTCAACACGCGTGCAAAGGGACTTTGCCGCCGTGGGGCGGCAAAATGAATCTTACAAGCGTCTGGAGTAGCAGACTATTGGGAGCTCGCAGCTGCCACTGCACGAGTGTAGACGAGCAGACACTGGCCAGAGAGCGATCGCCAGAGCGATGGAGGGCCTTCAACACACGTCGAGGTTAAGCCGAAAAAGACGCGCAGTGTAGCATACGACAGAGGACTGCTGCCGTTCGGAGGTAGAGCGGGAGTCGACATTGAGGTGGAATGACAGTGTGAGGATGACATCAGTTTTGCTCACATGGTTAAGAGGCAGAGGACGCGTGAGTGTGGTCGAAAAGCTTTGGATATTTCCTCCTGACTGGAAAGACGTGTGCACCACACGAGTGAACACTCTCGAAGCGCGATTCTAGGATTGTGGATATGTGTGTGACACACTAGCTTAGGAATACGGTCCAACCAAGCGGTCATCAATTATCCACTACAGCTTCGACTTGACCATGGGGACAACACGCGAGAAGCCTCAGCTCGCGGCGCGCGCCAAGCGGTTCGTCTTCGGCATGACAGCAGCCGGTACGGAAACTCTCTTACATTGCCCATTCGATGCATCAATCGCCTGTTTCGCTTTGTGGGCCATTATGGCTTCTATCTATCGTCACTCAATATGTTGAACAACGAACGAATTGGACTCAACTCTTGGACGCTAACGCTATGACTGCAGTGACTGGGACGTTCCGAGCGCTTGCGGACACGGAAGTGCGCAGTGTCTTTTCAAGGTGACGAAGCACAGGTGCTGACTGTCCATCCGTTCTGCACGCCTGCTAATGTTTTGTGCGACGCTTGCAGGAGTGTGAAAGCGCTGCTGATTCTTGCCGTTGTGCTGTCCGCTGCGCTGCACCTGGTGCTGCTGCCTGTCGAGTGGATCAGCTCGCTCGTTCTCGATCCCGAAACGGTGGATGCCAGTGTGCGTGCTTTTCGCTACGCAGCTGCCTCGACTGTCCCGATCCTCCTCGTTGGCGTGTGTCGCTACTTCAGCGTCAAAATGTTTGAGAATGCTTTTTTTGCGGGACTATCTACACGCGATGCAGAGCTCGCTGCGACGATCCGAAAGGTACGGCGCAAGGTGTTGGCTGGTGAACGACCTGCGAGATGCACTGGCTGACTCGTGTGGCCGATCTTTGCAGAGAAAAGCAATCTACTGGGACTGGGAATATGCTCATCATGTGATGCGGTTCGGGCTGCGCCAGGTCGGCTTTGGACTCGTGGCTCTCGTGGCGAAACCGGTTCTGGGAATGCTGATTCCCATTGCGCAGTTTGGCTATCGGTACGCACGAGCTGGTGTCACTGCTGCCGTAGTGTTTGTGTCGCGTTTGCTGGTGCCTGACTAGTGATTGATAGTATTCGACATATGGAGGTGACATTCCTTTTGCCTCTGTTCGTGGCCTTCGTTTACCCGGCAACGCGTGGGACGGCGCTGCAGCTAGTGCACATGTGGCTGGACTCGCGAGCCATGATCCGCGAGCTCTTTGACCCCATTATCGCCCGTCTCAAGTCGGCAGCAAAGCACGGGGATCGAAACGTCAACACGGATTTGCTCACGGACATGGAAATCGACAGTGAGGAGGTCGACGGCCGGGAGAAGCAACGGGACTGGCACCAGAGTGGAAGTGACGCTGCTCGCTTAGGCTTTGGACTCGTTTTCTGCTGCATGTTGCAGATTCCCTTTGTCGGTCCATTCACCTGGTTCATCGGATTTGCTTCTGCTGGGCTCTTTGCCCCAGAGCTCGTGGAGCTCAGTGTTTTCAGTCAGAAGAGAACGACGTAGTGTATGCAAGAAGCCGAAGCAAGTACTAAAAATGGAATGCAGCACGTTGACGGTGGCCACATACATGGCTACCAAGCGACCAAAAGCTTGATACCGATCATACCGTCTCGCGTATCGACACTACCGGTACCACAGCACCTAAGGCATCAACCGCAGTTCCGATCGCCGCCGCCGCCGTCGCGATGCTGCAGTTCCTCACCAACTCGGACAACAATCTCGTCGTCGGGGCTGGCGTGGCCCTGGCAGCTGTCCTCGCCGTCAAGTACATGAATGTGCGTGCCGAAGCGGCCCATCAGCGTGCGTACGAGGCGGCCCGAGCCCGGCAAGAGGTGCTCAAGGCGGAGCGCGAGAAGCCCATCAAGCGCCGGTTCTTCTCGCCCGAGGAGCTCTTGCCTTTCAACGGCGAGAACGACCAGCCCATTTACATTGCGGTGCTGGACGAAGTGTACGACGTGAGTCGCAAGCGCGACTTCTACGGCCCTGGCGAGGCGTACCACCTCTTTGCGGGTCGAGACGCCTCGCGCGCGCTCGCCAAGATGTCGTTCGAGAAGGAAGATCTCGACAGTGACGACCTCTCGGACTTGAGCTTCATGGACAAGGAGACGCTCGAGGACTGGGTCAATAAGTTCTCGGTCTACAACGGCTACCCGAACGTAGGACGCGTGCTGCGACGGCGCGACTTGACGCTCGAGGAGCTCAAGCAGTTCAACGGCGTGGACAATCCGCGGAAAACCGTTTACGTGGCTCTGAACGGCAGCATCTACGACGTGACGCTGGACGGACTCGACCATTATGGCCCAGAAGGAGGCTACAAGCAGTTTGCTGGACGAGACTGCTCGCGATCGCTCGCGTGCATGTCGTTCCTGGACGAGTATCTGGACGACCCGACGCTGGATGGGATCACAGAGCAGCAACGAGAGACGCTGCAGAAGTGGGAAGACAAGTTCAAGGAGAAGTACCCTGTTGTGGGGACGATCATCCAGTAGGTGGGGAGTTGTGCTGCTCACGGCTGCCGCGTAACGCACTGTCGATGTCGCCCCGAGTGCTTATCAAACGTCGATCGGTCAATGTTCACGTGGGAGTTCCCCGACTTTAGTGGTTTCTTGGCTCTGTGCTCGATTGCCCGTCACTTGTTCACCGCAGTCAGCCGTGCTAGGACACAATGCTCACAGATTCACAGCCCTCACTCGACAGTCTGTTGGAAAACATGCGTGCAATCCGACGCACTACGAAGAGCATGTCGGATGACCCATTCCAGGAGTGACTCTCTGCCGACGCTAAGACAGGATTGAGACATTGGTACGTAGGAGCTGCTGTTCTGTCGGCATGTCCGTCCATCAGAGCAGAGGAAATTGACTCACTCGCCTTCGTTCGGAATTCCTAGGGCAGTCTCGACGATGTGACCTCAATTGGCTATCCGAGTGCGTCTTCAGACCAATGCCACGGCGCAGGCGGGAAAGCCGTTTCGACTCTCGTGGAGACACGGGAGTTCCATTGACACGAACCGGACGGACTTACGCCAACGAGTCTGTTCTCAACGCCGGACGAGAACTGACCGGCTCAGGTCCAGAAATACGAGTGCGACGACGCAATCGCGAAGCGAATCGTGTAAGCTGAGCACGCGAGGAACTGCTGCTCTTCAGGTGCTAACATATTCTCGTGCCATTTAACCGACTGCGCCACCGTAGGAGGACCACGTGCATTGAACTACGCGACGACTGCGATACGAAAGCCGACGGGTCGAACACTATGTGCAGTCGTCGAAGGAAGACAGACTCGTTTCACGATGGACGGGTTGATCCTTCACCGTCGAACTCGAGCAATGCGAGTATTTGACATATCGCCTACTTGTCGGGAAGGCGAACGCTGCGGGTGCAGAAGGAAAGCAGATGACCGCAGTCGCTCATGACACACGAACGTCAACGGCTCGTCAAATCTATTGGGCCAATTTCCGCTGAAGAGGATCGGGACGCCACAGTCACGGATTCCTCACTATGGTGACCACTGCGTCAATCTCTATCCTCAGTCCGACACACGTCAGCGGGACGCGGTACCCAAACCGGTGGGCTGTCAGACATAGAGGTACAGACTCACGTTGATGCTGTCATTCTCTGGCTGTGTACAGACAGACCCCTGAGCGCCTACACGACGCCCCCGTGCCGCTGCTTCTCCCGAGTTTGCCTGTAGTGTCGCCAGAGGAAAAGGCCGCCGCCCACCTCAATGACACCGGCAACAAGGAGCACGATGAGACCTGGCAAGATCGTCCGGACGAGGGAAAGCGTCTTCTTCAACGTGTTGAGGACGCTGTCCTTGGCCTCGCCAGCCTCCTGCACCCAATACGTCGGCAGCACCACCTCCGTGCGTAGCATGGGCCACAACACGTCGCTCATGGAGGCGTTGGGGATCGTCGTGGACGACGCCAGCGCGTACGAAATCTGCGAGCGCTTTCGGGCGCGAACGGTTTGCCCTGTGCCCGACTCGATGTCCACGAAGGTGCCGTATGCGTTGAGAAAGCTCTCGACGAGGACACCCTCCGAGTCGTACATCGTAGCGGCTGACATCACTGTGCCGTCGTTGTTGGTCATGTGCACAGCTTCGAGCAGTGACGTGTCGCCGTTGAGGAAGTACGGGCCGGACAAGTACGACAGAAAGCCCGTGACAAAGCTGAGCTGCTGCAACCCGTTGACCGGGACGCCAGTGCCAGTGCCAGCGCTGTCGTTCGTGTAGTCGAAGACGTCGCTGTGCGCGGCAAACCGGTGCAGCGAGACGCCGTTGTACTCCGCCATCGTCTTCGTGCTTGCGATCGGGATGGAGATCGCAGCAGCACCGGTGTACGAATCGAACGCGTCGGCTGTGGTCTGGTCGGCCATTCCGTTGACGGTCACGCCGCCGGGTCGGAGCGCCGATCCGTCCGTGCCCGACACGTTGACGCACGTGACGTTGGCCACAGGCGAGTCGCAGGTGGCGTAGCTCGAGAACGCGTTGAGCTCGGCCAGCGTCGGGTTGCGGCGTGCCCCCAGCTCTGCCCACACGGGCGCGACGGTAAAGCCATTGTACGCGACGTACGTTCCGATCTTGGTGAGGTCGTCGCAGCCCGTGCGCTTCGTATAGGCATTGAGCGTCGACGCGTCAGGTGCCGTCTCCGAGTAATCGAGACCAGAGCTCTCGACGATGCCAGGGAGAGCGGCGGCACACAGTCCCGTGCTCGCACAGAGGCCGCATGTGGTTGCACTGAAGCGGGCAGCTTCATCGACGCCGTACTCGGCAGCATAAATGGACTCGATCGCGGCGCACGTGTCGTTGCTACGCGCGACAACAGCTGCGCCCTTGGCGCATTGAGAGCAGAGATTGGCCATGGCCAAGCAGCCGTCACCGCTGCAGGACGCGCACGCGGCGTTGAGGTTCGGCTCGCACGTCTTGACGTAGTTGGTGCCCTGGACGAGACCCGCGAGCAGACTCGGGTAGCCCAGCGCCCACTGCGACGCCGTACGCTTCACGAAGAGGCCGTTGTAGGCGAACCCAGAGAGGTCCAAGTCGGCGATCGCTGCGGGGCCAGTGGTCAGGAACCGCATCACGGCGTCGTCTTTCGTCACCGTCTTCGTCGCCACGGGGTCCAGCGAGTTGAGGCCGTTTACCCAGCGCATCATCTGCTCGCCGTGTTCCGCGACAACCGCAGCCACTGCACTCGCGTTTTGCCCGGCAGCGAACGACTGCGCCGCCACCGACGCGAGCAAATTGAACTCGCCGCCGGTCGCAGAGATGACGCTGAAGTACCCGGCGTCGAAGCTCACGATCTCGTCCGCGTCGGAGCAATTGGCGCAGCTCTTGTCAGCTTCGAACGTGTGGTACGTGTACGTCTTGTACGTGACACTGGAGGCGTCGGCCGACAGCGACACGTCCAGTTTGAGCTCGCGACGGCGGAACACGTACGGCCCCATCTCGTGCACTCGCAGCTTTGCGTTTGTCGTGAGGTACGCCTCGGCGTTGGAGGCGTTCAGCATGTAGAGGGACACGTAGTAGGGCGAGCACTCGTCGCAGTCTCCGAACGGGTCCCGATAGAACTCTTCCGACACCTCCTCGTCAGAGCAGCGGACCACTCGGTCTTCGACCGCCGCGTTCACGTACGCTGGTAGGGCAGTGCCGTAGAGGATGCCACCGACCGCAGTCAATGAGCCCGCAACGATCAGCGCCGTGGCCCAATGTCGTTGACTCCAGCAGCGTCGTCGACGGTGGGCCTCGTCGCGTCCCGACGCATTGGGCGACGCCTTTTCAAACGACTCGAAGGCGATATCCGTCTGCTCCTTCGGGGACAGCATCGCCGGCGCTTGGAGATGATGGGCTGTCGAGTCAATGGCTTTGCGACGGACTGCAGCGTTGTCGGAGCAGTGGGCGGCAAGTTGGCAATTGAGTCACGTAGTGGGCCCCGCAAGTCTTTCGTCGCGGCGGCTTTCGGTCCGCGTCGCCTTTGCGCAGGTCGTCGTCGAGCGTGCGACTCGCTTCGAAAAGACGTGGCGATCGAGGTCGAGGTCGTGATGACCCAAGACGGAGACGTGGGGGCTGCAGGGCGTGCAGCCACTCGGCCGTCTGCATTGGCACTGGGCGTCGGGCGGCGCTGCTGTCGAAACAGCGGTCTCGACAGCAGCTTACCGTGCTATACGATGTCGGACGCAAGAGGACAAGACGACCTCGTGCCATCAATGCAGTTAGTGGTCGAAAGGAACGTGCACTCGCGAGCTTTGTGCGTGGGATATCAGCGACAATGGGGCGACGGCGCTACTGAAGTTGTGCGCAGTGCGAGTCCCGCGCGATCGGCTGTTCGAGTCGGCGTCTTTGTTCGACAGCGATCATCTCAGTTGCGCGTGTCATATCGGACAGGACGCAGAGCGCCGGCGATGCAGAGCTGTTGTCGAGCGTGAGCCCCGACGTCTCTTTTGCACAAGGGACCGCAAGATACGTAGTTGTGGTCGATCACACGCACGCGCATCGATCGTATAAAACACTGTCTTCACTTGCACCTACATATGGTCTCTCTGCTCGAGCTTACTACGGAACAGCCGCTCTCTCAGCGCCCGGTCCTTCCTCACGCCGTAGCAGTGCGATGCCGACGCCGGTAGTAGAAAAAGACGCCGACGCCAATGCAGATCGAGCCGACCACGACGCCCACGATGAGCACTGGCAGCAACGAGTTGAGCAGCGACACCAGCGAGTTGTAGCTCTTCGCGCGCGAGTCCGTGATGGCTGAGCCCTCCTCGGCCCAGTAGATCGGAACCACCACTTCGGTCTCCAAAGCCGGATACAGCACGTCGCTCATTGCTCGGGAGCTGTTCAGCGACGAGGCCGACAGCGCGTACGAGGCCATCAAGCGCTTAAAGGCGCGCATGGTCTTGCCCGTGCCGGCCTCAATGTCCACAAACGTCCCGTACTTGTCCAAGTACTTGCTCTGCAAAGCACCGGCGCTGTCGTACAGCGTCTCTTGGCCGACTCGCACGCCGTCGCTCATGGTGATCTGCACGTTCGTTGTCAATGTCTCGTCGCCGTAGAGGAACATGGGGAACGAGGCGTAGGCCAAGAACCCCACTGAAAACGACAGGGCCTGCACGCCGTCCACTGGCGAAGCCGTACCCATGTTGGCGTTCTCGGCAGACGCCGCGAGCACCTGGTCCGAGGGACGGAAGCGGTGCAGCGTAATGCCCTTGTACTCCACTTCCTCGTGCTGGTTCACCAGCGTGAGGTTCTGCTTGCCCTGGCTGAAGTAGATCGACAGCCCTTCCACAGAGATCTCGTCCTCAAAGCCAGTGATGCTCACGCCGCCCGGGGCAATGCTCGTCCCGTCACTGCCGCGCACGGGGCTGCATGTCAAGTTGGACGGAGGGGCGGCACAGTTGCCGTACGTGGCAAAAGCAGTCATCTCTCGTAGCGTCGGGTTGCGACGCTCGCCCAAGTCCGCCCACAGCGCAGTGGTCCGGTAGCCATCGTACTCCTCGTACTCGTTGATGTGGTTCTCGTCGTCGCAACCCGTGCGCATCGTGTACGTGCCCAGACTCGACGCATCGGGGGCCGTCGCGGAGAAGTCGCGACCGCTCGACTCCACGGCACCGGGAAGCGGAGCTGCACACAGCCCGAGCGAACTGCAGAGCTGACACGTGCTGGCCACGAACGCAGCCGCTTCTTCGGCACCGAAGGCAGCCGCGTACGTGGCCTCGACGACGGCGCAGGTCTCGTCGTTGACAGCCACAAGGCCGGCCCCGCGGGCGCACTGGAAGCACTCGCCGAAGAGCGCGAGGCACTCGTCGCTCGTGCTGTTGGCGCACGCAGCGCACTGCTCGTTGAGACCGCCTGGAACCGCACACATCCGGACGTAGTGCGAGCCGAGCCCCAAGCCGGCGAGCAGACTCGGGTAGCCGAGCGCCCACTGGGAGACCGTGCGCCTGGCAAAGAGGCCGTTGTAGGCAAAGCCCGAGAGGTCCAAGTCGGCGATGGCGCTCGGCCCCATGGCCAGGAAGCCCAGGACGGCGCTGTTGTTCGTGACCGTGCGCATGGCCTCCGGGTCCATCGAGTTCAGGCCGTTGACCCAGCGCATCATCTGCGGACCGCTCTCGGCCACAATAGCAGCGACATCACTGGCGTTGCTCCGCGCCGCGAAAGAGCCCATCGCCAGCCGCGTGAGGAACGCCGCCTCCCCGCCGGCCTGAGCAATGACGTTCATGTAGCCCAACTCCAGAGCTGTGACCACGTCGGCGTCCGAGCAGCCGGCGCAGCTGCGGTCCGGCACGAACGTGTGGTACGTGTACTCCTTGTAGCTCACGCGGCTGCCGTCGTCGAGGAACTGGACGTCGAGCTTCAGTTGGCGCCGGCGGTAGGTGTACGGCCCGCGCTCGCGGACCTGAAGCGTGTCGGCTCGTCCCGCGAGGTACGCCTCGGCGTTGGTCGCGTTCATCATGTAGAGACTCGAGTAGTACGGCGCGCAGTCGTCGCAGTCGCCGTACGGGTCCACGTAGCTCTGCTCCGCGCCATCGGAGGCCGTGCAGACCACGACGCCGTCGCTGACTGCACTGTCGAGCACGGCCGGTACGACTGTGCCGTAGAGCACTGCGAGCACTGCGACGACGGCGCCAGTGACGACGAGCCCGAGACCGATGGCACAGCAGCAGCAGCGCCGCTGTCTGTCGCTGCGCGTCGCCACCTTATCGGAGAACTCGGAGTGGGGCGAGTCCATCGCCATCTGAGGTCCTCCGAAGACGACTGCAAATCGGGGAATGCCGACAGGAAGCGCTCGCCGAAGCCCTCGACAGAGCGAGGGGGACTACGACCTGGTCCGGCCCCGAACCGAGCGGAGCATTGGCGTGTGAGGCCCTGACGACGGTACTTGCGGGACTCGGACAGCACTGTGTGGGATGCGACAGTCCGTCACGACCCATGTGCGTGTCGAGAGAGTAGGACGGACGTCTTCACGGCGTCTCCATGGCCACCGAGTCAGCTGGATGGACCCCCGGAAGCGGTTGCAGTTGGTGCGATTGAGCCATCTCACCAGACGGCGGGCTCAAATCGCACGGGACGTGTCAACTGCCTGATCCTTCTCCTCTCGATGCGACGTTTTGGTTGGTGCTTCATGGAGATCGCGAGCCGATCCCAGTTTGGAGATCAACGCGTAAGTCGGCAGCGAGGAGACCGAGAAGGACAGCGTGTATTCACGCGCGGAACTGTTCCGCCTATTGTACGGTCTTAAGAACGGATACACATCCGGTGACATGGGTACATTCAACCACGCGCGGACCCTCGAGCTCTCTCGGCACTCGACGTGTTGCATATCGCGTTGAGTGTCGTGACGACGACAGGTCAATGCTAGAAAGCACGAGCAGTGAACAAGCAGATCCATGTTGTTATAGCTCGGCTCGACCATATGTCGCTTCTCTTCTCTTTGCAACAGCTCTTGCTGGGAATATGCGTAGCCAGCGCTTGTGTACAGTTGGTGGTATGCCGATCAGCAGATCCCGGCAAGAATGTTTTACTGCAACACCTGTGTGTAGTGGCCCGCATCACGAAACACAACAACCTGTGTACGCTGTAAAGCGCGACAGTCCACAGACAGATATGACGTGTCGTATGCTGGATGGCCTTCCAATAATTGTAATAGTTCGACTCGGCACGTTGCGCAGTACCGCATTCCATGCGCATGGCCGAGCTCGTCGATTCGTGCTCGATCTGCCTGCAGATCCGCGGGAAACTCGTCGACGGTCATATCATACTATTTGGTGTCCGCGGGATCTTGTCCGAAGACATACTATTCGGTGGCAACACTAGTCGACAAAGTCGCATCGTGCTTGTCATGGCAATACCCAGAAGCAGGTCAGCACTCGCCTACAATTCGGCTTGGCGTGCATAGAAAAAGGGGATCGCAGCGCAATCAAATCTTGCCGCCGGCCTCACCGGCTGCTCATGCGCACCGAGAGTCGGACACACTCTTCTGATCTCACCTGCGTCGAAGCCGCGAGTGGATTCGCTCAAGCAGAACGCTGGTAGACCTGTGAGCAAGCCATCTCCTCGACGTATCACAACCTTGACGAAAAGCTGCCACAAAAGCACGTGGGACGCGATGAAGTGCACAGACAGACGAGGTCGTGGTCCTCAGAACGCGGACGACCTGGCCCGATCGTCTGAAGCATGCCTGTGTGAGTCCATCGCTTCTCGCGTAGCGACACAAGCGCATGCTCGTTGCCCTCTTATGCGGCAAAGTTCCGATGTGGTCGCCTTCGCTCAGTGCGGCAACTCGACCATCTCGTTCTTTCCCACTATCTGGTAAGGTCCATGCTCGACCACCGTCTCTCATTGTCGGTAAAACCACCTCGACGTGCCGTAGACAAGTCTGTCCTCTGCGCTCAGCGACGCACTCAGCTGCTCGCTCGTCTCCAAGCTCTACAAATCACTGGCGTTTTGTGCACAAGTGTAGACAAGCAATTCGGAGAGCCCCCACTTGCCCTGCACGATTCCACCTTTGGTCCCAGCAAGTCCGATACGTAGATACGGGCCTATTGCTCCAAAGCTTGCGAACTGGTGTGTTGTTGTCAAATTTGTGATCGAACATGTAGTCTGGTCTTTCCGTCAATCTTCGGCTTGACGAAGTCATTGACGTTGCGCACGACACGATTGGGTCGTGGTGATGCAGTATCTGTAGAAGCGTCGGGCGTCGACCATGCTCAGCTATGCATTGTAGCGCGCGTTAACAATGATGGCAGTGAAAGTCATGGACACGCCACTTACACAGCAAAAATTAGCAAAAGCTCTGTGAACTACGCTTAAGCTCATCAAATGAGAGAACCAAAGAGCCTCATATGTTGCCATGTTTAATGAGCAGCACGACATGTCCAAACTAATATATCTTCGACAACCGCACTGGATAGATTTAGAACGTTCGAAACGTGATATAGGATAGGTGACCCTTTTCCAAACATTACGGCCTATTTTCGATCGATGACGACGAACATAATTTGTAACTTACAAATAGCTGACGAGTACGAATAGCGGGCGATAACGAATAACGGACGAGTAGTTGACAGATAGTTTCTCTTTCTCATTTAGCTTGCATCGGCCACAAGAAAAAGCCACCAGTCCTATCGAAGCGCAGATTGCACTGTACTAGTGAGCTAGCGATGGATCATGAGCCTTCTTTCCCCGCAAATCTCCGAGCTGAACAAATGTCTGCGTGTCAATCGCCTAGTCAGAGTGCGAACTAGAGGAACACTTGCTTCGTCTATTGGACAAGAAATTAGCAAGTGTCAGCTATAGGAGTGTCTTACGGAGTGAAAGACATGGAACACACACACAGAGCGAATAGCAAACTATTGCAACACACGTACCGACGACGCATGGAACGAAGATTCGGGCAGGTCAATCCGAGCAAATTGGTACAGCTTCCTTTGCCCCCCCACTCTCAAGCGGCGGGCTTGCACTAGCCCACTGGTGCGCGTCCTGCAAATGCAACCATGAGCAATGTATCGGTGCAAGCAGCTTACATAGCTATCGGCCTGCGTTGCTTTGGCCGCAACCAGAGAAGGTGGAAGCAGCCCGTTGTACATGTTGGCGGCTCGACGGTCCCGATTTTGAAACGATCCGCGGGTGGACGAAGCTGCAAATGTCCATTGTTCGTACTGTCCATGAGCTCTAAGACGACGGATCATGTTTTGTGTTGTACACGCGTGACCTTTCGTATTCATCATATTCGGTGGCAAGTGTCCATGCACAAACATGTTTACTCTCTCCACTTTTGTATATGCGCTCGAAGTCCGCGCATTCCCTGAGATTCTGTAGTTGTGCATCTGCTCATCCAGCATCTTGCGAGGCGGCGGTCGTTACCTCAGCCACTCAGCTGTCGCGCCGACGTTTCCGTGTGAAGCCTACTTTAGCAGCATTTGCTGCTAAGCAGAGGTTCCAGCTAGTTGATTGCAAGTTTGCGACATTGTGACACCAGTGCGAAACAAGCATCCGTCACGCGCTCATATGGGCAGGCTTTGTGCACGTCACTGAACGACTAATACGTGCACTGAGCTTTGTGGTTCATACGAGCTGATTGAAGCTTGCGACACCTGTCCATGAAGGTTTGACATTTTGCGTCGTCACCATCCACACTTCCTGGACAGATGTCGGATGTGAGCAAATCAGTTCACAAGTTTTTCGAGCGCAACACATGTGTAACGTGCAGGCCGTCCGAAATCGTTCGCTATCACCAAACGACGCTTAGCTCGAAGCAGTTGTTCACCAAGCACGATCGACACTAGTGTCTGCAAGAAGCAAACAAGTAATTGCAAGCTCGTCATAACTAGATACAGTCGAATCTACCAGGAGACGACGCTGACACGGCAGAAGAAGGTCGGCTCTACCAGAAAGCGACCTCATGCCGAAGCATACTTCCTTCTCAGCATCCGAGTTGTTTGCTTCGCTACCAATTGCAGACACCCGTTGCAAGCTTGTCTGCTGCTGTCTCATGTGCGGCGATCCATTACTGCTTTGCCAACTCTATGCGTTGGTGTTCCAAAGCAACCAAACATGCTGCAGTATACGCCTCAGCAGCTCCTCGCTGTTTGTTGTCCTGCACACGCACACACACACACACACACACACACAAAGGCACATGTACTGATTTAGCATCTTTATCGTCCCCCAACCGCCAGTCGACACCTGGATTTCTCCCCCCCCCCCCCCCTCAATGGACGTCAGCTGCCATAAATAGACCCTTTTGCCACTTTTTGCGGTAGTCACTGCCAAAAACACGCGCCGACAACATCCGATCCGTCCGATCCTGTGCAATGACGTCGGCGGAAGAAGGAGAAGGAGAAGAAGAAGAAGAGGAGGAGGAGGAGTACGACTTTGACTACAGCGATGAGGACGAGGACATGGAGGACGCCGAGGCCGCCGACCTCCACGTGCAGATCGAGAACGCGTACTACGCGGCCAAACAGCTGCTGGAGGGCGAGTCGCCGAAGCGCGAGGCGGCGCTGGGGGCGCTGGAGCGCGTGCTGGAGCTGCAGAGCGAGCAGACGGACTGGGGCTTCAAGGCGCTCAAGCGGACGGTGAAGCTGCTGTTCGAGCTGCACCGACACGACGAGGCGCTGCAGCGGTACGAGGCGCTCTTGGGGTACACGAAGACGGCGGTGACGCGCAACGTGGGGGAGAAGGGCATCAACAGCATTCTGGACTACGTGTCGACCAGCAAGGCGCGTTGCCCGCGTGACTTGACAGCTTTCGAGACTGTCGTGTCGGGTGTTGACGGACTGTTGGGTTTGTGTGGGCGTTGCAGAACTGGGAGATCCTGCAGAGGTTTTACGAAACGACGTTGGAGACGCTCAAAGAAGCGCGGAACGAGGTGAGGAGAGAGAGAGAGAGAGAGAGAGAGCGTGCAGATGAGTGGGGTGGAAGCGGCTGATGGGACTAACGATTGCTGCGGCTGCTGCTGGCTAGAGGTTGTGGTTCAAGACGAGCGTCAAGCTGGGCAACTTGTTGTACGAGATTGGAGACTTTTCGAGGCTGAGCAAGGTGAGCGCGAGATCGACTTGCCTAATCGGGTCCATGGCTGACGCGACGATGATGCATTGTGTGTGCAGGTTATAAAGGAGTTGCTGATGTCGTGCAGTGACGAGGACGCAGACGATTGTGTCCGGAAAAACTCGCAGGTACAAGGAAACTTGCATGCAGGGTAGAGCGTCTGCGGTGTACTGCTTGCTGACTTGTCTGTTGATATACTGCAGTTGCTTGAAGTATACGCGCTGCAAATTCAAATGTACACGGCACAGAAAGACAACAAGAAACTAGTGTCGATCTATGAGAAGGCCTTGCGGACCAAGTCGGGCGTCGCACACCCGGTACGTAGGTCTGATCCAGTCGTCGGCGTCTCAGTGGCCGCAGCTGATGTTGTACGTCTATGTGGCTGCAGAAAATCATCGGTGTCATCCACGAATGTGGCGGCAAGATGTACATGATGCAACGCGAGTGGGACAAGGCTCGAAGCGACTTTTTTTCCGGCTTCAAGAGCTACGACGAAGCTGGCGAACCGCGTCGGCTTCAGTGTCTAAAGTACTTGGTGTTGGCCAACATGCTGAGCGAGTCGCAGGTCAACGTATTTGACTCGCAGGAAGCCAAGCCGTACGAAAATGACAAGGAGATTGTGGCCATGACAATGCTGACCGACGCTTTCCTGCACGACGAGATCAAGACGTTCGAGAAGGTGCTGACGCGGAACCAAGAAGCCATCATGGACGACCCTTTCATCAAGCACTACATCGACAGTCTGCTGCGAACGATCCGGAGCAAGGTGCTTCTCAAGATTGTCAAGCCCTACCGCACCATGGACACCCAGTACATTGCACGTGAGCTGAACGGGATCCCGCTTTCCGAAGTGGAGTCGTTGCTGTCGGCGCTCGTGCTGGACAAGAAAATTGAGGCACGGATCGATCAGGTTCGCCACACGCTCGTGCTTTTGGACTGCAAGCCTGAAGAAAAGTTTCAAACATCCATCAAAGGTTGGTGCGATGCCCTTGAGAAGTTTCATTCATGTACGATGGACCGCATTAGCACTGGAAGTGGAATGTAAGCAGCTCCTACAAGCATTTAGATTGCGATATTTGTGTGCGAGTTTCGCTGCTGTATGACGGACTCGGCTCCTTTCTTCCGGTCTCAGCGTGCACACCGCATAGCTCGGCCAAGCATCTTGGTCAGCTGCCATTCAGCAAAACGTCGGCCCCTTGTACACGATCGCTGCTTCTTCATCTTGATGCATGCACGCACTGTTCTAAACCTGCCATTCCTCTCGAAGCGAAACGTGCCGGTGTCGGATCTTAGCACTCTGCGTCTACCGGGCGTTTCGTGATATAGAAGTTCTTCGCCAGACGAGCGTTCTCCGCCTGTCGAGAGGCAATGTGCCATGCGGACCCGATACACAAGACGGACCACACGGACCAACAGAGACAGAAGCGAAATCCAACCCGGTACGCACAAGCTTCGTCACAAAACTCGAAGTAGCTCTTCGGTTGTCCCTGCTTCGAGATGACCCACTCCATGATCAGACCCGTGAGGTACGGCGACAGCGAGTAGCCGAACAGATTGAACACCATCACCGAGAGCGACGAAGCGAGCGCGCGGTGTTCAGTCGGCACGACCGAAATGAAAATGCCTGTGCAAGCTGGCAGGATCGAGCCGCCGAAGAAAAGCAGCAGCCACAAGAAGCCGGAGGTAACGAAGACGTCGTTGAAGAACGTCGTCACCGCCGAAATAAAAAAGGCTGTGAGTCCAAGAATCATGCAAATTCCCAGAGCCTTAGCGCGCTGTTCCACCCCTATGTATCCTCCATATCGGTCAATGAGCCACCCGCCAAAGAACACGCCGAGAATGGGCCCTGTACCAGACACAACGACAAAGAGCGCGTTCACCAGGTACTTCGACGCGTGCAGTGACTTGATCATGAAGATGGTGCTCCAGTACTGCACGCCCGTGACGACAAAGTATACCGTCGTGAGACCGAACACGATCAAACAGAACACGGGGATGCGCAACAGCTCGTGCAGGCCGTCCGAAAACGCGCCCTGCTCGTACACTTCAATGAACTCATCGTCCATGATCGAGGCCTCCAGCACAGTTAGCTGCGCAGACTTTGCTGGAGTTATGGCTGTGTCCAAGGCACCATATGATGATGATCCAGGAGCACCTTCGGGCGCAGGCAATGGCTGCTGTTGTACTGTAGCCGAAGCCGCCAGGACGAGCGCGTCAGCACCTGCAGGCTCGGTATCGTTGGTCGCTGCCGTTGAGGTTGCCGGGTGCGCATTGACAATGCTCTCGCCAGCTTCCAGTTCATCTCCAACCGCGTCAGGTAGTGCCGCACTCCCGTTCGCGCCCGGCGTCCGAATCATGGTACGGCGGATCGATGCGACCGCCTCATCCTCTTCACAATGCCCGAGATGGTACTGCTGTTCCTGGTTCTGGAGAAGCTGTCGGAAGCTGCGCTGGCTGCTCGCACCGTACATACTCGCACTGGCAAGCAACGCATCTTCTTCGTCGTGGTACGTGGTCGACCTCGTGCTCATCGGAGTGCCCGCTGCTGATTCGGTCAAAAAGCTGTGCAGACCAAACGCCGCTCGCCCACGCGTGCTCGAAAAGCCGCTGCGTCCGTACGTGAGCGGCTCAAGCTCGCAGCGTAGCGTACCATCTGCGTTGTGCGTCTTCTTGTCTTCGCGCGTAGCGTCTGCGTCTCCGCCGTCCTGGACACTCGTCTGCTGCACCGGGTCCACCTCCACCTCCACCGACTGCACTTCGTCGTCGCAGCCGTCGGACGAGCTCACACTCGCGCTCTCGGTGCCGCCACTGCCAATAGCCTCTCGGTCGTTGTCGCTGCGGATGATCAGGTGCTTCGTGGGCACGAGGAAGATCGCCATGTTGACCGGCAGCAGCGCAAGGAACTGCAGCAGGAACGGCCAGCGCCACGTCTGCACGTGCGGCGAGCTCTCGGGCACGAGCCAGTTGCTCACGGTGCCGATAAAGTAGCCGAGCATGACGCCCATGGGGACGCTGCCTTGGAGGTAGCTCATCCAGCCCGCCACCTTCTCCCGTGGCGCGTACTCGTCGACCCAGAGCGGCGTGTAGATGCAGGGGAACGCCTGCGTGAACCCCACGGCGGCGCGCGCGAGGATGAGCATATTGGCGCTGTACGTGTAGCCCGTGGGCGTGAGCGCGAGCATGAGCACGGCCACGTTGTTGCAGAGCAGACTGACCCCCAGCACAACGCGCGGGTTGAAGCGGTGCAGGAAGTACGCGCACAGCGGCGACGCGGCGCTCAGCGCCAAGTACACGACGCCGCCCAGCGCGCCCTGTTGCGTCGCGTCGAGGTCGAGCGACACGCTGAGCTGGTCGAGGAGGCACGGGATGGCGCCCGCCTCGAGGTACACGATGATCTGCGTCAGGATGAGGTACTTGAACACGTAACCCGCTTCGGCGCGCGTCTTGTGCATGAAGCGCTCGCGCCGCTCGGCTTTCGTCAAAGGGGCGAACGTCTCCATCGCCGTCGCGAACGTGCCGGCCACCGGTGGGCTCGTGGATCTGCTCGGCGGCGGCGGCGTCGTCGGCGCTGCGGCAGTCACTCGGTCACTCGGTCGGTCGGTCGGGTAGTTGGGTCGCTGTCTCGTGCGTCAGTTGGTCGGGTAGTTGGGTGGCTGATGGCGACGCGGGCGGGTGAGCGAGTGGGCTGCCACGACAGTGTCGGTCGTCCTCTCCTCCTTCTTCTCTGCCGGATACTGACTGACTGACTGACTAACTGACTGCCAGTCTGCCGGCGTCGACTGCTGCTGCTACTTTTGCTGCTGCGACTTTTGCTGCTGCTACTTTATCTGCTGCCTTGGCTGATCGACCGACAGTCAGTTGGGGACAACAGCCACTGGAATGTTAGCTTTGGTAGTGCGATATTTGGGCTCGGGGCGAGTCGGGAGCAGGAGGCAGGTGCAAATCGGGCCGCGAGCGCGACATTCCATAGACGGGACAAGTGGCAAGCGCGCGGCCACGAGCTGATTACCGCGAGAGCCCCCGCGGACGGATTTCGCGCCGATCACGGCAGCTCAGCTACGTGGACCGGCCGCGCCATCTGTGCAGACGCACTTTTACGGTCGAGAGCCAGTGGCGAGCGATCTGATCCAGTGGATACGTACGATTGGACGTCCGGACAGTCGCAAAAGGGAAAGCGGTCGCAGCAGCTTCTTGTCTTCCAGTCAGGGGCTGAGCACCTGCGTGGGCAGGACGTCGTCGATACTGGCGGTGCCGCCGGGTCCGGTACAAACGCCACTCACGGCCATGTCGCTCGTGCTGCCGGTCGAACATCGGATTGTGGTCTGTAGCGACAGCAAGGACCGAGACAGGACAAGGCGCACTAGTCAGTCGTGGGCTGCACCCGAGCCACGCAACGAACGGTCGTCAGCACTGGTTAGTCGTCGGACGACAAACAGCCACAGGAGAGAACACTTGGACTGTAACAATACAGCACAAAGGCGCTGGAGCGGCCAAGGACAGTACTGTCGATTCATGCTGCGCCACTTGCGCGAGAGCGCGGCACCACAATACCAAAACACAGGTTCCCAAAGCGTCCATTACACATGTACAAACTACGCCATTACAGGACCTGTAGAAACAACCGTGAACGACATGGTAAGCACCTCTTCACTTTTTGCAAGTAGAGGCAGCATGTTGCCGTCGTTGCTGCAACAGTACATCATCCTGACAGCTGCAAGAGCAGGTGGTGTGGACTTGGACTTCTGTTTGTCCAGTCAAACACGATGGTGTCCACGCAACGTGGACTTTAACACGGTAAGCTCTCCATCGCACGCACTTCAGTGTCGAATCGAGCCTATCGCTCGCGGCAGGGTCGTCGACATCTGCAACCTGCACCGCATCGATCCCGGTTTGAGCTTGAGCCTGGCAAGGCTGTGTCAATTGATGGACACACTTTACGCTGCGCTCAGTCAGTATTGCGCTCAGTATTCCTTAGAGCATCTTTTGACTTGCTGATCTCGTCCTTCTCTCGCTGACGATGGAGCCAGCGTGGTCAAGTATGCACGTGCTAGAACGATACTGTGCATGCATTCTACTCTGGCAAGCAGGCGACAATCATGCACCAGCGAGTGCATGCATAGGTTCTGCGCTGCGAGCTCCTGGAAAGTCACGGTGGATAGATGAGATACGTGTACCATCCATCCACCACTTGACTTACGTGCACTACCATGTCACAGGTAGGCAACTGACTCGAATTGAATGACATCGTGCAGCATCTGTTCGACTGACTCGATCAGCGCGTCTTTGGAAGGGGAGAGAACGTCAAATCGACAAATCGCTAACGGATCTGAACAAACTTCACCGTTGGACAAAGTGGCTGATCCGAATCAACAATGCATGGTACACTAATCGGTAGTCAATACCACGATACGTGGTAAACCAATCGAAAGTCAATTCCACTGTACTAAACGCATTGGAGCGTATCAGTATTGACTACCGGCTACGTGCTATGTGTGTCTAAACAATCTCGCACATTACGACTTTACTGGCACCGACGCGTCAATGGACACTTGTGGGGATCAGAGGCGGGTGCTACATGATGTTAGTCTAGCTGGAAAGACATGTTGCTATGACCAGTCGACCACGTGCGCACCTTTATCATCGTATAACAAAGCTTGGCCAAATCGTCTCACCCGCATATTCGTAGATGTAACGGGGCACACCCTTGCGTAACTTAACGCAAGGGTTTTGAGTGCCCCGACAGACGTACACGTGGCAAGCGAGGAAGCGTAGGTAGGGTAAAAGTAGAACTGTTATATTAATAAATTAAGTCTTTAAACTACTGTCTCTTCGTTTGACTTAATTCAATTATACTAATATAACTGCATGTATGGTGACGTCTCGTCACCACTCATTGCGCGCGTCTTGCGGCGATTGGTGGGTTGATATCATCACGATATCAACCAATGAACAGACCCTTTGGTCGACCCTTCAATATCACCACTTTGGTGATATTGTTTTAAAGAATATCCATCTTTATATTCTTTATTGTCACTTTCCTTAAAGTGACAATTTCATGTAACGGGCTGCCCCGTTACATCACCCCCCCTTAACTGATAGTCACCGTGTGACTATCGAAAACATGGAGGCCACCCGTTGGCCACCATTGGGACTGGGAGCACTTGTTGGGTCCGTTCCATTCACTTTCCGCTTGACCTCGCATAGTTAACATGTCTATGCGAGGTGACTCAAGACCCACACAGCCTGGTGCTGTGCAAGCCTCTGCGGCAGACGCTTCGTCGTCTGCCGCCCCTTCTTCGCCTGCAGCAACAGGTGCTGCAGGTGCACGCGGTATCACACCGCGTGCGCACGATGACCCTGATGTAGAGGTCATCTACTCTGGCGAGTCAGACGTGTCTGACTCGGGCAATGCTCCAGAGGCGTCTCGCTCACCGGCGACGCCTCAGTATTCGCCAAGACCACTGCCGAACGAACGGACTCGTGATTTGCATCACAGTCTGTTCGGCAGTGATGATGATGATGATCAGGGTGGTGAGTTCTATTCTTCACCACCGCCGGCTCGTGCGTCTTCGCACGAGCGTGATGACGATGGCGCGAGCCGTCGTCAATCTGGGAGCCGTGGTACCGACAAGGGTACCACTGTGAAGCGTGATGAGTTGAAGCCGTGGCGTTTGCCCGAACAACTCATCAATAGCCTGTCTCACGAGACAGGCCAACACCATCGAATACCCTTATTCGATGCAACCGAGCTTCACGGCTTGAGTCCCAGCGCGAAGAACTTTCGCGCTGAAGAAGATTTTTATCTCGATGTCTTTCTTAGACATCGATGGTACAACAGCAACCAAAAGCGTGACAAAACATCGCTTTTGGCTGCGTGGAACGCGTTCGTCCAAAACGTAAAGAATTTTGGACGAGAAGGGTGGCTCAAGAAACTTGAGGCAACACGCCTCAGGTTCGAACGGCGAACGCCAACCGGTGCTAGGTACCGGTTGCATTTTTTATCGAGTGAGGCAGGCATTCCTTGCCTCACATGGGGAGACCCTTGTGCGAGTTGTGTTGACAACTCGCAGCGTGCACATAGGGATGTGTACTCCCTAAATTCGCCCTGGGGAAGGGCACATCTCTCGGAGGAGATGCGTGACGCGATTGCAAACTTGCAATCCGTCTACAAGCGCCTAGGGCGCGTGTTTACCGATGGGCCACAGGACTCATCGGATGGGTCTCGTCATACTGGTGGACGAGACCTTCAACATCCATCAACAGCTGAGAGTGGGGCTCCCAGCTGTTCCAAGAGGGTGGATACCCCCGCCACTGGACGAGGTAGCTCGTCCTTGATCCTGAATCGTCACGGTGATTCAAGATACGCTCCACTAGAAAGCGTTGATCACCGTGAGCATCCACCAAAGGATGAGGTGGAGGAGGAAAGACCTCCTCCAGATGATTCTGTTCACCATCTCGACCCTTACGAGATGGATCGCGCAATCGATGAATTGCGCGATGACTTGAAGCACGAGCGCGATCGGCGCTACGCTTTGACCGATACCGTGCGGAAGAACCGCAAGGGTCACGAGGCTGATCGGGCGAGGGATCGCGCCGATTATGCCACGGCGCAGCTTCAGGTCGAGCGGGATGTCCGCTCCCTATTCGGCGAGCTGGCGACAGCTCGCGGGGAGATATCTCGGTTGAATACCGAGGTATCATATCTGCGCGACCAGACGGATCGTCTGGAGCGCGAACGCAAGAACTTGATGGATGTTCTTGAACGTGGGGGCTATCTTCATCGGAAGAAGAAGGCTCGTACTGACAGTACGACCTAAGCCTCCCCACGTAAAACGTAGGATGCGTGCGCATCCTACGTGGTAATTCGAGTGTGTATGCATTGCCCTTGCGATGCAACACTCGAAATGGCCCAATGTATTTCGGCAGTAGTTTGCTACTGCCGACACTAGTGACTGCATGTCCAGGTAGGTTTACCGTTGACAGTAGTACTAGGTCGTTAACCTTAAATGAAAGAACATTTGCTCTTCCATTCTTGTCTGCGTTCCGTTTCTGACGGTCCACCGCATTTGCGATGGAGTCCTGAACGAAACGGACTACCGCTTCTCGAGTCAGCAGGAAGTTCTCTGCTGACTCTTTGTTTTGTCTGGCAGTGCGCTTCGTGCGCACTGCTAAGAGATTGCTCTCTTCTTCAGCGAGGTTGTCTTCTTCCTCGCTGACATAATCGTTGGCGATGCTGAATATACCAGCATCGTCATCATCATCCGAATCAATAATAGCGTCTTCGCTATTATTGAGATGATCTTCTTCATCGATGTCGACTTGATCGACATCGGCATCATACGTGACGACGTTTGCGTCGACACGTGATGAGCAAGAGCCAAAACGGTTTTTGCTCGAGCGAGTCCCTCCCCCCTTATCCAAGAGTTACACTCTATAAGGGTGGGCACTCGTGGATGGCGTAGGCCATTCACGTAAAACGGTGTGTGCTGTGTTGAAGCAT